CTAAACGGAGAGCATTCCATCCTAAAGACCTAAATTGTTATTGAAAAAGAATAATAAAACAATCATTTTAGAAGGTTTTCTAGTGATACAGAATCTGAAGGCACGTTCTGGAATCTTCACAGCACTGTCTGGACATTGGTGAAGCCTCACACTGCTAACTGCTGATCTCCTGGAATGTTCATGTACAACAGTCTAGACTTTACTGGGAATGGTGCAAAATCACCAGAAATATCCATTGAGCGGCAGTCATTTTAAAGCACAGTTAAAATGGGTATAAGGGAGCTATTTACTTGGCAAAGTATTTGTATTTCTCTCCATCCAGTACTGCGATTTACACAGCACTGCCACACAATTCAGCATGTCTGGCAGGGCTAAGTACTTAATTTTACTTGTGCAGAGTTGGAAAGGGGAGCATGGGGCAGTAGCTACCAGAATGGGTTTTCTGACCTATCAGACTGATGTACTCAGAGAGCCAATAATTGTTTTGACTTACATCTTATATCTTTTGGGCAGCTTTCTAGACTCTAGTGCTCCTGTCTGTCAGGTAAAACATGTTGCACTAGTTTGAACGTCTCAACAGCAATAAACCTTAAATAAAACACACTGGATAGGTATATTAAAGGCATAGTCCAGTTTTTGCAAAAATAAAATTATAAATGTTGTGATAGTTTGGGGAATATAGCACAATGGTAAGCGCTAAGAGATCACTCCTGAAGCCGACTTTAACATACAATTACAGTCTTTATTCAGCATAAATTAAGCATAACAGTTCATTCAGGAGTCTCATCAAGACATCGTGTTTGGTCTCACCGACATCTGTCTGTCTCATACACTCCCCGTGTGATAGTACCAGGCCTTTACCGTAGTTCTCTGTGAATACAGTCCTCGGCACTGCTCAGCAGCTTTCCTCAGCTCCAAGCCTGTTAGTATTCACCCCTCATGGGTCACCGTCTCTCTCTCTGTCTCCCCGACAGGTATCTCAGGGTCACCAACCCTCTGGACCTCTCCAGCCTTCCTGGCTATGTCCCTTTTTGCTCACGCACGCAGCAGAGTCTGTCTGTCGTCGTGTGCCTCTTGCACACCCACAACTCTCCTCTAAAGCACTGGGCTAGCTTCCTAATAAGGCTGCTCTCAGCCACCTGTTCAGCCCACCCTGGCCACTGACAACACCTGGCCCCAGGACTGGAGATCCCATCCCACTATAGTCCGGAAAACCTGGAAGGAACTGAACAACCAGTTCCTCCTCTGCAAAGGTATTCCTATTGTGGAACATCTTAGCACCTCTGAGTGTTCTTGAGGGTAATGTTTCCAAATTATATTGTGGCATTGCCACACCCTCCTACAATATAGGAAAGAAATGTGCATTTTATTAATGTATCCGGGGGTGCAGTGCTCTGGCTGCTGCAGACTATTCTTCTCAGTCCCTGTCTGTACTGAGGTATGGACTTTAGAAGTTGGTTGTTCAGCAGGAAACATTCTTGCCATTGGAAGATCCTTTGATGGTTATTTGTTCATAATATGATGATTCGTGTAAGAATCTGAAAATAAACCAAATACAAATAGAGTTTGTGTCCAACTGTGCTATAACTGTGTTTTTATATGCCGTGATGGTGAATACCCATTATGCTTTACAGTAAAAGTTGAACTGCAGCCTTACGTTTAGTCTTGCATGGTTATACAGACTCCTCTACTGCACTGAAAATTCTTGCTGCAGCTAGTCAGATTGATCTTATCTCATTTTCTGGCTGGAGGACAGCATCTAGCTCTTTCCTCCCCAACCTTACTGGCCCTAGTTAGTCCCTTTTATGTTTATTGGATTTTGGTTCTTTTAGTCGTGGAGGCTCAGCATTACATGTGAGCATTATCTAGAGCAGCGGTATGTAACATACAAAATTGGTGTACATAGGGCAACAGTCAGGACTATGTAGGATACAATCAGTGGCGTCACAACACCATTGCTGGGGTGACACCAAAATGACTGACAGTCATTTTGGTGTCACCCCCTTTAAACAGTCGGGCACTCGGTCATGGACTGAGACCCTGACAGTGTCAGGAGAGAGGAGGGGACCCGACAGCATAACCTCTTCCCACGGGGTGAACGTCCCCTCCTCTCTCTGCCGGTGTCCATCACCAAGATGGCAGGCGTCAATCAGATGGCCGCGCATGCGGATACAATATAGTATACAAAGTGCGGTAGTCAGAATTATGTAATGTAAAACATAGCATATAGAGTACGGGGGTCAGAACTGTGTTTAAGAATGCCTATTTCTTCAGACTAACATCCATCCATCAGGGGATTTGGATATTTTGTATATCTCTTTCCAAGAGTGAGCTCGCTGCTTGTATCAGGGCCGAGGGCTCTAGAGAGGAGTACAGAGGCAAGGTGCTGTGATGGTTTTAGGAAGCTATATACAGCACTCTGCCAGCCCCTCCCACCAGCCATGATCTGACTGCATTGCATGACATCACTGGGTCTAAAATAAGGTATGTAATGAAAAATGATAAGGCTTTATTTAAAATGTTATTAGCATGTTGATGAGGGGTAAAGGAGGAGCCAATGAAGGCAAAATATAAGCAGATTAAACTTCAGCTTTAACAAAGTGATGTGTTGGCCCCAGCAAACCTGCTGGAAATTTTAGAGTTTTAAAAGTAAAAGTCCTGCCATATAACTAACACCACAAGGTGCCTAAGAACAGATATGCACATGCATACTTCCAGTCAAAAGAGTCAACAAGTGAAGAAGCAATAGGTATTTTAGCCTTGAAGTGCATACCCTTAAAACAGGGGTGGGGCCCTCCAGCTGTGGTGAAACTACAAATCTCGTGAGGCATTGCGAGATTTCCGCAGGCATGACTTCCAGAGACAGATGCATCAAGGGATATGTAGTTTCACTGCAGCTGGAGGCCCGGAGATTCCCCACCCCTGCGTTTAAAATAAAAACAAGTCGGCAATTATAGCTCCTGTACTTCTGTCCTGACAAATCCACTTTATTCTGGAAGTTCAGAACTGCTGTGATAGCTAACTATAATATACAGTTTATATTCTAAAAATATCTGAAGAAATTGAGAGGCTTATTGTCTTATCTTAGAAGAGATAGTTGTGGCCACCACAGTGGCTCAGTAGTTGGCTTTCCGCACTAGGATTGCTGGGATGCCAATCTTGTTTCCATCAACATCTAGACAGAGTTTTATATCTCCTTGTTTTTGTGAGTTTCCTGCTGGTTTTCCATTTTTCACCCCCAGTGGCCAAAAAAATATAAACTGGCCTATTAAGAAAAGTATTGTTCTTAAACAAAAGCTCTGTTACAGATTTCACTAGCAAAGAGAGAGACTGAATTTGTATATTTTTGTTGCCAAGGTACTTTGTATCTGTAGCCCTTAGAGGGTAGTAAGGCATGCACGTCACCTCTTGTATCACAGTGCAGGCATAAACATGAATGCTTGGGGAGGGGAGGGGATTGGAGAAGAATGGTGCCAAGAAAAGTGGGCCTACCCTTGTGTTTCCAATTGTGGAACTCTAAAATCAAAGCCATATAACAGCAACACTTTCTTAATATGCTGGCCAAGATTCTTTAATTACCTGTCCCTACCCTTACCTCTGTTTGTTAATTTATCATAATCCCACCCCGATGACTTCAGAATTGATTTAAGCATACTCAATAATCATAGCCTTGCTGTTATTGTGTTTTATTGTCTATTAATAGTTACGGGCTAATTGACTAAGTTCTAAACTGTGTTCCTTGTTTTAATTCTATACTTTGGGGAGAGAAAAAATCTTTTTCAAGTAAGGAATGGTAGCAATCCCTAAATGAATTTCTCTGTAGATAAAAGTATCAATTTTCTTGTTGTTTGCACTGTAAAAATGATTAATTGCTCTTTTTAGTTAAGCAATTTATTTTTTCATTGGTTTGCAACCTAAGTGTTTGTACTACTGAGGGGGAGCAGCTGTCAAAAAATTAACCAGCTGAGAGCCGTTGTCAGCATTCATTTTGGTTTAATAAATGGCTTTCTGTAGCTATTTAGTGGCCTGTAATCTAGATAAAAAGCTGTTGACCTATGATGGATAATACCTGCTTTTGTTTGTAGATTGGGGCTTGAAATGTCATCTTAATTTGTTTCAGGTCATATCACAGGATTTCTTGAATTTGTTATTATGTGCCATGGATAAACACTGCTAAAGGATCAGTAAAGTATAATTGCCGTTAATTAATAGGCTGTTTTTCCAAGCCAAGCATTATGAACTAGAAGAAACTTTTATTGCCTATCCATTTGCAAATGCTTGTTGTCTGGCTTTTATGCTAATCTGGCTCCAATAGTTTGAATTGCTCTCCCAAAACATGTGTGCATATAATATAGACGTCCAACTCAACTCTTACTTTCCTGAGCTCATAATTATTCTAGGTCTAGAATTTTTTTAGATTTAGAAGTGATTGAAACTACTGGGTTAGCTTAATAGCCAGGTATCTAGTATGCTCAGAAGAAAGTTCGCAACAGTGCAACAGCCTCCCCCATTTGTTTCTCAAAAAAGATTTGCTTTAAGCCAGTGTTATTAGGAAGGAAGTTTTTAGGTGGAAGTGACAGGAGAGGTGAATCCATAGTAGGCATCACCAACTGCACAACAAAATCATTTAATAAAGCACTAAAATAATTTACGTTGGTGTTCTCATCAGCTCCGATCCCCCTCCCAAAGCACCTGCTGTATGTTTACATTAGAGATTAGAAGGCTGGAAGGTGGAGGAATCACTGCGAAGGTGAGCTCAGCTGCATAGAAAATAGCTTCAGTGCTTCTGCTGTTAATTTTGAGGATGAATTGCTCCACTGTGCCTGCAGTTACATAGGTCTGCAAGGGATTGTGTCAAAGCTTTTTTACTGCTTATTAAGAATATGTAAATATTTGAATGTCCATATCCCCGCCATGGTTGCAAAAAGAGAGCTGTCTTTTCTTACTGTAGTACAATGGTCTTTTTAATAAGCATGCATTTCTCTTATTTCTGCTTTAAGGTGTCGGGGCAGCCAGATCTGGGAACCTCACATTTATGGTTGGTGGAGTTGAGCAAGAATTTGAAGCTGCAAAAGAACTTTTGTCATGTATGGGAGCCAATGTAGTTTACTGTGGAGAAGTTGGAACTGGGCAGGTATGCTTCATGCTTTTTAAAGTAGTGAGAAAAATACATGATTATCTTTAGAACAAATATTCTTTGTGAATGCTACCTTTTGCTACATGGCATTAGTTTTGCTGTCCACTTTCCATTAACCCCTTTCAAAACTCTCATATACTCCCTGCCTATGAATGTAAAGGTTATGCCATTCCGCTCCTCTTCAGCTTTGCTGCCTAATGACCTCCCTGCAAAGGGCCTTGCTTTCAGCAAACAACAGGCATAAAACATGTGAGCATAGTGCGTGTGCGCATATTACGCAATGTGATTATTTTCCTTTTGCCATGCCCTAATCGGGCTGTCCTGCCCATAGAGGTCCCTAAGCCTGGTCATCAGGGAGCCAGGCCAACAACACAACCATTAGTGGTATATATTTTAATGATTATTGCTATGCTTTACAGCAGCTATGCATAACTGTAATAATCACAAAGCTCCCACTTCCCCTACGTTCTGTGTCATGTGACAGGTTGATGACCATAAGTTACATGAGACTATGTAGGAAAGTAAATAGGCCGCATATGGTTACCGATATGCACAAGTGTTGTAAGGTATAACAGTTATCATTAAACACTATGCCACTATTAACAGTTGTGTCGATAACCTTGGATCCTGTTGCCAGGCCTGGGGACACTTACGGGCAGGACATCCTGATAGCCTGGAGTTACAGATATGCCTGGGTGTTGTAGAGCATATAGGTAACTAATAAACATGATACCTATGATGCCTATTACAGCTGAAGGGTGGATAGGACAACTGCTACTGGGAGCGTTTGAGAACTGCATATGTCAGATCATAGCAGGATTGTTGCTGGCTCCTAGATTTTTGGGAGGTTCAGTCTTGTATATGGTTTGATCATTGATTGCACTCTATCCAAAATACCCAGAATATTTATAATAGAGTGACAGAGTCCAATATTAACATTATCTGTGATTAGTTCTGTAATCCTTTTGTATGCTTCTTTTTTTTTTTTGGGCCAGTCAACTACAAAACCCTTCCATTCTTACTCAATCAATGCCCCCTTCTCTGTGGACACTTCATAAGCAGCTCTAGCTTGTAGTCAATCAACTTGTATTCAGGCTGTCAGCATGTAAATGTTGACATTATCCAGCCCAGACCATTGTCTTGTTTTCAGACTAGACATCTGTGACTTTGGCTGATCAACGGGAAAGGAAAAAACTTACTTTGGTTAATGCAGTATAATTATTGAGAAAGTGGGAGCACAAAACTCTACTGTGTAAAGCTTTACATGAATGTGCAAAAAGGCAAATAGCCCCATAACTTGTTTTCTGTTTCTCATATTAATTTGTTTGTTTGCAGGCAGCAAAAATATGCAATAACATGCTGTTGGCTATTGGCATGATTGGCACAGCAGAGACTATGAATCTCGGAATAAGGTATGTTCTTTATTAATTCAAATGTTGGGTGTATCTACAATAAATGTAATATGCATAACTATGCAAAGCTATAGAAACTGCAGTTTTAGTAAATTAATTAATTAGTCTGATGTTTTGATATCCTTTGCTGATGTGTTAAGGCCCCTTTCAAAGGCCGGTTCGATCGGGTCTGCCTGTCAGTTTTTCAGGCGTACCCAATCGGATGGCCAATGCAGCCGTGTGTAAATAGACACGCGTCCGTTTACACCCGGTTACCCCCGACTCCAACCAGGTCTGGAAAAATTAATGAATCAGAGATCCGTTTAGCTGGACCGGGGGTAATCTGATGTAAACAGACACATGTCCATTTTACATCCGACTCCCCGTAGACTGACATGGGGTCTGGTAATTGCAATTTTTTCCTCCATCACAGCGGTGACATCCCCTCTGTATTGCTGTGATCAGGAGAGGATCCATGCACAGATCCTCTCCTGATCAGCCCGTCTGAAAGGGGCCATAGTCTTTGGGTTCTTTTTAATACAAGGGTTCACAATCTTTCTAAACAAAGTACCAGTTTACTGTATCCCTCAGACCTTAGAGCAGGGGTAGGCAACCTCAGCATTCGAGCTGTAGGGAAATTACAAATCCCATCATGCTTTTGCCTTGGAGCCTGCCTTGGAGCGCCAAGGTTGCCTTAGAGAGTCTGAAATGTGGCCGGTAGGAAAATGCCCAGATGTCAATGGGAGTAAACAATGCCCAAAGCTTGCACCGAGGTTAATCAGCAGTGGGTGAAAAAAATATCATAGCACCTGTAATTAGTGGGGTGAGGTGGAGGGGGTGGTGCAGGGAAATGATGCCCACGTCATTGGCATCAATGGAATGAATTGTGCACCTACAATTGGTATTAGTGGGGCGAATAGTGCCCCATCATTGGGATCTGTGAAAGGAATTGTGCCCCTTTTTTTCACTCTCACCATTTCTTATATGTTGCAGCTGCATTAGTTAACTTTTTAATCTTTTTTTTTTCAAGTGAAGAACATTGCTCTTGAGCAAATTCTCTTGCTGAAAGTGTAATGCTCTCTTAAGGATGAGCAATATTTTATGTGTAGGTGGATCCTAGTGGGCTAAAGAAGCCCCTCTTTTTACACTCTTCAAATAAATAACACAGAGAATGGGAACCCCTCAAAATGGCTACAACAGGTATGCAGCCCCAAAAAAATCCCTAGAAATGTAATGGAATTGTTTGCTAAAGCACTTTCTGTCATAAACAGGTTCCATGTTTAACAAAATACTTGTTTTCACGTTTATTTCATCCTGTGTAACATCTCAGTGTTGCTAATTTGCAGCCACTTTCTGTCTACACGCACTCCAGTGATTTCTGCATGACATTTTTTAGGGCCTGCGCAATGTGCGTCAGATTGGTCACCTGTAGTTTGTTTTGGGGAGAGTGTGTGACAAAACAGGAGCACAACCGAGAGCCAGGGACAGATCATTGTCACATTCATAGCAGGATCAGCTCCAGATTCATGGATATTGAAAATAAGTTTTAAAATTGCAAATTGTTATAACACTGTCTCTGGCTTAGCGCCCCCCTGCAAGTAATATCCTCCCCTGTCCTTGATCCAGTACGGTTTTGTATCCAGCTGCTGACCAGCAAATCAAAATCCCTGCTAGAAGAGGGGGTATGGAGTAAGAACTCTCCATAGGATTGCCTCAGGATAGTTTGTCAAACGCTCAGCAACTTTTTTGGCTATATCTTGGCGGATCGGAAATAAGTATTAGACCTGGTTCACACCTGAGCATTTTTTTGGCGCGTTTCCGCGCATATAGATACGTGTAGAAACGTGTAAAACACAAGTCAATGCATTCCAATGTGAAACAGTCACACCTGCACGACCGTACATGCGGACAAAAACACGCGCCGCGAGAAAAAGTACATGCGCGATTTTCAGAGCGGTTGCCAGGCTTTCTGATTGTATCGACAAACGCACAGAAAAATGCATGCCCATTAAAATTTGTGTGTTGTTGTCCTTGCATATGAACGTGTGAAAACGTGCTGAATTGCACAGGCTCAGGTGTAAATGGAAAGAGGAGAGAGAGAGGAGAGAGACTCGGATACATAGAGTTAGGACCACACTTTGCAGAGGCGCCTTGGCGCGGCAGTGTGGCTTCTACATATTTTTGGCTAACAGTTTGTGCAACTAAAACCTCTGATTTTAACGCATACTGTTGACAGGGCTACTTGTTTGGTTGCAGGCTGGCTGGCAGGTTGAGGCTGGGGAATTTTTGTGTTTCGTATTCAGGTGTAAATGGAGCCTAACACTTGCAACTGTAGGCTAAGGTCAGGGTGACGGCACATTATAGGTGTGTGATTTACCCTAGCAGACATCTGTAGCAAAAAATGTAGACCACATTTCTTACCCTTAATCTGAAACTAAAAAGAAAAAACATATCTGGAGTGGCTTAACATGTAAGCATGGATCCAGTTTTTGCCTGGCCTGCCAATTTATTCTTCAGACCAGTTTTGAGCATAACATTGTCTTGTGTGTTGGATTTCGTATGGTTGTATAAAACTGGCTAGAGAGTAATACACCCGTTGCCTGGTGCTTGTTGCAATATTCACATCTTGGTACTTTATGATGATGATGATTCATTTTTTTTCTGGATAGATTCCAGAAGCTTCTGTGTTAAAGAAAGTTAACTTTATTATGTGCTACAGGGGAAGGCTACATACTTAATTTGCACATGTATGGTATGTAAGTTAAATTTAAAAAATAAACCTACACAACACTCCTGTTTCCATGATCCAACTGGCAGAGGAACAATCTCTTTGATTTATCCTTCTGTACTCTAAGGCCTACATCCTTTCTACCCTCCTTCTGTACTCCAAGGCCTACATCCTTCTCCCCTTCCATACATTAGCTAAAGGGAACTGGACCTTCAGAGTCAAAGTGAGCATGCAAATTGTGCCCAGTGGCTGAATATTCCATGAACTCGACAGCGATAGAAGCAAACTAAAGATATTTTTCAGGTGGTACATGGTCCCCCAGAGGATAGCTAAATTTGCACTGGGGGCTTTGATCAACTTTTTCTGGAGATGCCCTGATACAGATACACTCCTGTGTATCTGGTGGGACTGTCCAAAAATTAAATACTTCTGGATTAGGACTTACCAAGTTGTGTATATGATATTGGGTTAACATGTCTGTTAACCCAACATGGTATCTCCCTGACTATGTACCACGGTTGCCTATGGTCACATCACCGCCCGCCGGCTGCAGTCAGCCAAGATTGATGCGTTTCAGGGGCAAGCCCCATTCATCAGAATCATCAATGATGATTCTGATGAAGGGGGTTTGCCCACGAAATGCACCAATCTTGGCTGACTGCAGCCGGTGGATGGTAATGTGACTGGTGGCAACCGTGGTACATAGTCGGGGCGATACCATGTTGGGTTAACAGACAGTTTGGCCTCTTGTTTGTTGTTAAAGCGTGATGAAAACGTTTGCTTGTGAGTACATATATCCCTTGTTTTATATATTTTAATAAACGATTTTACATACGGAGGTGGTGCTCTGTTCCCTTTTGTTCTCCTTATGACCTGCCCTAAGCTGTTTTTGCATTCCTGTAGACCTGTACAGAAAGAGAAGCAGCTCTAATATGAACAAAAACCTTTTGACATAAGCTGAGAAAGGTGGATGTTATCCAACACTAGCAATGCAGACAATTTACAGCGGCATGATGTTGCCAGAAAAAGCTCTACGTTGGTGTTTTAGTATTAGAAAAATGTCTGCTACCACAAACCACCTTCCTCCTTTTTCTCCTGATCCCTGATCTTTGGCTCGCATGCTAGAGCTCGTTGTAGGCATGTTTTCACTCCCTCATTGACCTGCCTATATTCTCCCACTCCAAGCATTTTATTGGCCTTCCCTGGCTGTTAGTCATTCCAGTGAGCGGATGAACCTGGCCGAATGAGGAGATAAAAAATAAAGGGAATTTAAAGGGTTTGATACAGATTATTGAATACAAATATCAATAAAAACAATAAGATTGTTGCAGGATCGGGATGCCTTTGCACACAGCCCCCTTAGGCATAGTCTTACTATGTCATTTGTAAATATATACCCTGTCCTTTTGATCTCAGACTGACTGCCTAAATATCATAACTTTGTTTTGCTGTGCCTCCTCTGGTGGCATCATACTGATTTGCATGGCCCTTTTAATAATGTGATCTCATTTAAACAGATGTCCTCACCTCAATGAAGCAAAATATTGATTAATAAGATTCCATCTATCAGCTGGCTTTGGAAATCAACCACAATAATGGTGGAATATTTAGTATTATTAATACTTATATTTGTATTTGAGGTGGATTTACATTACTGGAGCCTGTTGGCACAAAATCTTTTGCGTACTCCTTTTATACAAATAACTCCTGAGAAATGTTGTTCCTGGCACATAGGATATTGTGCATCTTCTAGATAAACTCTGAGTTATTTTCTAAATGAAAAGCCACCTTTTTAACATTTCCACCCCTTGGCTCATAATTACTGTGTTTTAAGTGAACCTAAACTCAAAAGGTGAAGGTTTTCTATGTTATAGGGAACATTTAGAAATGTTAATTGTGCCAGAGCAGTAGCCCTGGTAAATCTACCTTTTTTGCCTGTAATTTCTTCTGAAAAATAGTAAGTTCACTTCCTGTTTCTAAAGTGTAATAGCTGTAAATTTGCAGTGTGATGCCAAGGATGGTTATACACACTACAATCTGAATATTCAATCCCTGCAGAATCGCCTTGAAATTTTCAAACATGTAATATGACAGGTCTAAACAATCCATTCAATGTGTATCCTGTTGTGCAGGCCTTTATATTACATAGTTGTTGGAAGGCTGTAAAATCAGATTGGAAGGCTGTACAGTCAGATTGTATAGTGTATGGTCAGGTTTAGGCACGGTCACTACTGTGCTGCTCGCTGTTCTCCTTGCTGAAGAGAATTCTGTACCTGAGAATGTGCAGTGCAAG